TTGCGCGGCCTTGGTGGGAAGTGCGTTTGCGTGGCGCCGTGCCACTGGGGAGCGCGAAACACGCTGGCGTAAACGCGGCGTGTCGCTGGTGAGCGGGATCATTGTGGTATCAAGAGTGTCCCAAAAGAGTGCCCCGCAAGAGCTTCCTACAAGAGTGACCCACAAGAGTGTCCTACGTGATACGTTTGCTTCTAGTATGTGGCGGCACATCGACGTCTACACCCCCTCACCTCTGTACACACACAGACATAAATACACACATAGACACACACACAGACCCACACACTTACTCAACACACTAGACTCAACACTTCACACTTAACACTTAACACACAACACATTCTAACTTCACACGTGGTGAAAAATGTTTTCGGGCCACTCATCGTCTAGTTCTCCCAAGCTTTGGATCAGAGCAGGAGTTTGCTGAGAACTTGGAAGGCTTGAACTTTGATCTCACACCCTACTTGCCGGACCTGGGTCTTCCAACCTTGGAGGATGTGAAAATGTTCAAGAAAAGGGTGTCTTAGTGCAGAACAGAAAAGTTTTCTTTTTTGGCTCAAATCCCCTTGCTCAGCATCCGGGACCTCTTTAGATGTGCGCACCACAAGAGAAGATCGGTACCCTCGAAAAACTGGGCAAAACAGCAAGCTAACTCACATGAACTGAATTGCTTTAGGCCGTTCAGATGGTCAAGGAGTCCTTCGTGATGAGTGAGATGCGACCATCGAGCGATTTAGTTTTGCAATATTGCTATGCTTCTGCCCAAGGACTCCTGGCCGGCAACGGCATTTTGCACCTGCATCCTGAAAAAACAAAGATCTTGATGAAGAGTCTGGAGGAAGTATCCTCCAAGAACTTGATCTTCAAAAACATCCGGGAGAATCAAACCAGGTCAGAAGCCATCAGAGGCATGGCCGACGAAACTTCCAGTGCGCTTCCTGCGCCGGGTGCCAGCAGCGCCAGCAGCGCTGCGCGCGCGACGCTTCGAGGATCACCTCCTGCTAGCTCAAAGGGTCACTGGCAACAGCTGAAGGACACCCTTCGTCGTTTGAATGGAGAACATCCTGGAGATGACAAAGAGGACACGCCTGTGGAGGAAGTGAGTCTCAGTTGGACAAAAAGGGAGTTGTATCCTTTTAGCCTTTCGGCTTTTTGTCTTGATCTGTTTTAGTAGCAGTAGCAGCCCCCCAAAAAGGAACCTCGCCTCAACGTACTCATTCCCAGGCCAGACTCCCACATTGAGATCCTGATCTTTGAATGGACCGAATCAGACTGGAAGGCCTTCATGAAGAAGACCTCTGAGGCTGGTGTTACTGAGAAGGACTTCCCAGAAGCCAGAAAGATCCCTTGCCTCCAACCTCCGCTCAGTGATTTGGTCAACGCCTTCCATTTTGCACACAAGCTCGAGTTGCTAAGGCAGATGATGCATTCCAATACTGCAACCTTCATTTTGATGTTTCTCTTTTGGTCGACCATGACAACGACATACTCACTGTACTACTGGAAAGTCATGAAGCACAGTCAGCGCAGGCTGAAGTGGTTGGAGCCTGGCTTTTTGGCGATTTTGGCTTTGGATTGTGGCCTCATTTCCTTCACCAAAAGTGCTGTGAAGATGATGACTCAACCTTCCTTGGTCACCTTCTTCTTCTGGAGGCCCGAGAGCTGGACCGTGCGGACCTTTGTGGCGGCCGCCCTCCTTGGCTATCCGGTGGTATTTATTCTCATCACCTTCTACCTGGTCTACGGCCTGACGAAGGGCGATGGTCACGCGGGTCACGCCGCAGGTCACCACGGACGAAGGAAGGAGTTGGTGTTCAACGTAGAGATCCAGCAGTGGATCGACCCTACCGCGCAGGAAGTCAAGGTGGACCTAGAACCACCAATCCCATCCTGGTTTCCGGTCGTGGGTGAGTTCCTCACCAGCCATGTGCGCTCCTGCGTCCCGGTTCTCGCGCCAAACGGCCGCCCCATCAACTTCAAGACCGATGTGGAGGAAGTGCCTTTAGCAAAGGTGACAATTGACAAAGCCAAGCTTGAGGAGGAGTCCGTGCAATTATTTCAGGATCTCACCACGGAGTTGCATCAAAGCATGACCAAGCAGACGGAGAAAGCTCGAATGCGCCAAGAACAATGGGTGCAACAAGAAAAGGACTTGAACACGAAGAAAAGAGAGCGACAGCTCCAGCACAGAGATGCTCTTGAGCAGATCAAGGGGCAGCTGGCTGCAGAGGAAGCAACCTACGGCAGAGAGGAGGATCAACTGCCTTGGGGTCCTTTGGCCGATCCTAGCTGGTTCCCAAGTTCAGGAGAAGTAGATGAGGAGGAGATCTTCGTTTTCCAGAAAGTCAGCCTCGTGAAGCTTTTCAACCAGTGGACATCCCAAAGAGGTCGGAATGACTTCGAAGTCCTTGACGCTGAGGAGTCCGTCGCCCTTCGCTCCTACCTAGAGGGTTTTGTCCAACGCGAGAAGGAGTTGAAGAAGTACAACATCATGGAGGTCTCGTTTTACAAGGGTTTCTTGCTGCCACGAGAGCCTTACCTCAGAAAGAACGAGGAGGATCAGAGGATTGAAAGGCACCCCAGGATTTGGTGGTTGCCCAAAGATGTGATGCAGGAAAGATTGAGTTCTGAAGGGGTTTGGTTGGGCGAGTATGCCCCCCCTGGACAGCAACTTCATTGCCAACCCTTCGGGGCAAAGGCTGGTGATTGAATCCCACACCTTGGACTTCTTGCCACAGCTCTTTGGGCGCGTCAAATTGGGAGATCAACCTGCCGGCTGGTGCTACTGGCTTGATGAGCCACAGGAGGGCTGGGAGATGTTTGCCTCTGCCGTGCGGAGGGATGGATTCTTCCAAAAGGGCACCGCGAGGATCACCTATGCGACCAAATGGCATTGGATCTATTTGGACCAGTGGGACTTGCCCTGGAGCGCAGAAGAGCGCTCCTTGCTCAAGCGCTTCAAGCATTTGGTGCCCCTTGAGATGTCGCGGCGCGAGAAGGACGAGATTAGAAGATGGGTCTGGCAAAAGCTGTTGCCGTGCGCCACGGTCAAAATGAAGCTCTCATGGATGTCCAGGCACCATCCCCTCTACTACAACGAGCACGACACCATGCTGGAGGTGGTGGAGAAACCCTTCGAGGATTTTCTCTTGGACCTTGCTCATGCCAAGCCGATTGAAGACACGGCTGCTCGCCCGGTTGCAGACGAGCTGCTACACTTCTCACTGATGAAGTTCCAGGATCTTTACCTAGATGAGCCCTGGTGGGATGACTCTGACAAGCCTGATGAGGGTGAGCGCAAGATCATGTTTGACCACGCTGCTTTCTTTCAGGATGGCACTTTTGACAGCAGGTGGATGCAGCGACGGGAGGAAAGCCCGTTGATCCCAGAGAACGGCTACCATTCATCCTCTTGCTTCACTCGCTTTCCAGAGGACACGCTCGGCAAGAAGCGCTACATCATCAAGAAGCCAGATGGCTGGAGCAGCCAGATGGAGATGAAGGTGCAGTTGAAGCATGTTCCGCCCCTCATGCGCTACACCAACAAATTCAAGGCCTGTGTTCCCCTCGAGAGCTTGGAGCTTCCTCTGTCATCAAGCTTTGCATTCATGTTGAAGGGTTCCGGCAAGGGCGAGCAGTTCAACTATACCTTGGACCGGCTCACAACCATGATCACCATTGGCGTGTTGGCAGTGCAACTGCCCGGCCCACTTTGTGTCATGATTTTGTTTTGCTTGCTTTTGCTAGCGTCTATCAGCCGCTTCTACACAAAGCTCACCTCCATGCAAGATGAAAAGGGGACAGAGAACACCAAGCATGGATATGTCCCCTTGACCAATGAGCCGATGCTGTCGCACTCCGCGGCTGCTCGTGTCACTTCGACGGACTGGGTGGCAGCAATGGGAAAAGTCGTGGCCATCTTCCTCGAGATGGAAGTCTTCGCACTTTTCATGCAGAGTTTGGTGTTGGGCTTCCTTGCCATGGATCTTATCGGTTTGATGAGCCCGTCACTGTGTGCCATCGGCTGCATCTTGACATGTGTGATGGCCATGATCATGATGACGCTTGGAACCTTTCGCAAGGAGTTGAAGAAAAGCATCGAAAACATCTCGGAGTCCATGTCACAGCTCTACGGCGTGGCCAAGAGCTACCAGGCCCAAGCAATGATTTGGCTGAATTTGGGCAGTTGGGGCATCGATTTCCATGACTTTGGCACGCAGAACGTCAACTCGGTCTCCTTTGTGGTGTCCGAACTCGGAGTGCGGCTGGTTGGGAAGCCACTCGTGGATGACTTGCTGCCAGCAGAGGAGAAGAGGCGGCAACAGGTCATCAAGCACAACGCCTATTTTGTAAAGGGCAAAGGCTCCAATTCTAGGCCGGGTTGATTTTTGTGGCATGGCGCAGGTGCGTGCATGTGGCAAAATCCCGTGGGATGGAATATGTAGCCTTTTTGGGACGATTAGCCCCCCTGGTCTTATTCACATGTGTTACCTGACACCCAGACTATACAATTATGTGTATTTAGTATGTGTATATATATATATATGATATCTTTAGAGTGGAAGATTTCTTAAGGGAAAGTGTACACCAGAAGAACGATCAGTGACGATTTGTGAACACTAGCTTGATGTATTTTTATGCTTGCTTCGAAATCTTTGTGCCAGAAGCCTTGAATCTTTGCAACAGTTGTCCAACACCTCATACATTGGCCGCACATACGTCGGAGTGTACGCCAGCAACTCTACAAGGGACAGACTGCAACACGCAAACCTAGATATATACCAATCTATTTGGCAACACCGCAGCAATTATTTAAGCCAAAGAAATTGCACTTCTTGTTGCAGGTTTTCTTAGAAGGGAAAGGCGAAAGAGGACAGGAAACTGAGATGTCGCAACGTCTGCGCTTTGAGCAGTTCAATTTCCCTTCAATTGTGTTTGATCCCTCTTCCTTATTTTTAGGTGAGTTGTCTCATGAGCTGGCCAGCTGCAAGCAACACGGACAAAATGTACATTGACTGGTCCACCCAAGGGCAACATTTTTAGGAGAGGGAGGTCCTATTCCAAGGTAGCAGACCTTTTGTGGGCCACCCGAGGGCAATTTAGATGAAGAAGGTGCCGTGCAGACCTTTTGTGAGCCACCTGAGGGTAGACTTTTAGGGGAAAAGGGTGCCATTCCAAGGTAGCAGACCTTTTGCGAGGGCAAAGCTTAAGAGGACGAAGAACGGTGCAGACACTTGCGCCACCCAAGTGCTCGGAGGCTCACAGACGGACCTTTTGTGAGCCACCCGAGGGCAAAACTTAATGTAGACTCTTGATTAATCAACTCCCCCGCCCCCCCCCTCAGCAACCAGGGCCTCCAATATAATATATAAGAAAACTAATCAAAGGATAAACACAATTAGAATAGTTATTAAAATCTTCTTGGTCTTCTCTGGCAAAAATGAAAGGGAATCAATGAAATCTCAAATTGAAGACATCTGGAATACTAAAAAAGAAAGGAAATCACTAAAGTTGAAATGGAATTCTATTTTTTTGATGGAAATCTGAATCCAAAGACCTTCAAAAGCATCCAATACTTTTGAATAAGGGTTTTGTAAAGAAAGTGTGCACTAACTTTTGGAAACTTTTGGAAAGCTTAAAGACTAAAGAGCTTAGGTAAGTAAAGCAAATCAAAAGGAAAAGCAAGGGAATGAATACAAGTTTACTTAAAGCAAAATAATTTTTGAAGACTGAAATCTCTAGACATTATTCTAGGGCACCCCCTCAATAATGGCAGAAAGCTGCTTGCTGAACTACCTCCTTTGCTTGAATTATTTTTTGTTGTTTTTTTAAAATACTTTTGAATAAGGGATTTTGTAAAGAAAGTGTGCACTGACTTTTGGCAACTTTTGGAAAGCTTAACGACTAAAGAGCTTAGGTAAGTAAAGCAAATCAAAAGGAAAAGAAAGGGAATGAATACAAGCTTACTTAAAGCAACATATTGTTTAAGCCTGACATCTCTAGACATTATTCTAGGGCCCCCCCTAAATAATGTCAGAAAGCTGCTTGCTGGACTACCCCCTTTGCTTGAATGATTTTTTTTTAAAATACTTTTGAATAAAGGATATTGTAAAGAAAGTGTGCACTGACTTTTGGACACTTTTGGAAAGCTTAAAGACTAAAGAGCTTAGGTAAGTAAAGCAAATCAAAAGGAAAAGAAAGGGAATGCATACAAGTTTACTTAACGCAAAATGTTTTTTAAGCTTGGAGTCTCTAGACATTATTCTAGGCACCCCCTAAATAATGCCAGAACGCTGCTTGCTGGACTACCCACTTTGCTTGAATGATTGTTTTTAGTTTTTCAATACTTTGAATACAGGATATTGTAAAGACAGTGTGCACTGACTTTTGGACACTTTTGGAAAGCTTGAAGACTAAAGAGCTTAGGTAAGTAAAGCAAATCAAAGGGAAAATAAAGGGAATTAATACAAGTTTACTTAAAGCGAACGTGTTTTTAAGCCTGAAATCTTTAGACATTATTCTAGGCCCCCCCCTAAATAATGTCAGAAAGCTGCTTGCTGGACTACCCCCTTTGCTTGAATGATTGTTTTGTTTTTTCTCAATACTTTTGAATAAGGGATTTTGTAAAGAAAGTGTGCACTAGCTTTTGGAAATTTTTGGAAAGCTTAAAGACTAAAGAGCTTAGGTAAGTAAAGCAAATCAAAGGGAAAAGAAAGGAACATCTTCAAAGTTTTAGTAGAAATCTCCATCCAAAAGCCTCCAAAGCCTGTAAGATAAGCAAATCCCAGCCAACTCAAAAGGGAAAAAGTAAACTACAACAATTAAACATATTCCACTACAAAAAAAGACATTATTCTGGGGGCCTTTATTAATCAGTGCAGGAAAAAAGACATTATTCTAGGGGCGTTTATTAATCAGAGGTCTACATTAGATAATGAGGTGCTGCAGACATGTGGTGAGCCATCCGAGGGTAAAATTAAGATGAAGAAGGTACCATTCCATCGGTGCAGACCTTTTGAGCCACCCGGGTCACCCGAGGGCAAAATTAGAGAAGGAAGGTGTGACTCCAATGCAGCAACATGCCTGTGTGCGAGAGTGGTTAACACGTGCGCAAGTGAGGTAGCCTGTACATGCGCAAGTGAGGGTTTGGACATGGCCCGTCTCTATAAATAGGCGTGGTCGACTGTCGACCTTGCGCGCGCACATGAGATGACTACTTGGCGTGCGCAAGTGAGTGCTGTCCCGTGGCAGCTCTGCCTTAAAGACTGCACCTTTTAGCGTGAAATTTGTCCCATGAAAACCGCCATAGGCGGAGAAGAGAACAAAGGTTTATGACGCGAAAGGTCAGCCAGTAAGAGTCTTAAAAATCACTCGTTTTTAACGTATGGTCGGCCTGCAACCGTTTTAGCAGCGTCCACTGGGCAGTTCGGACGCGGACGGGCCGCCCCGGACGGCCCGAAGCGGACGACTGAGAATAGGAGACGAAGAGGAGGAAAGCAAGCGCTTGGGCGAACATTTTCATGCATGCGAAGCCCAGGAAGCCGACGAAGAACCGCAATGAAATTGGGGTATTGCAATCTGAAGCACAGCCACCTACTAGTAAGAACAGCTTCTTCGTGCAAAACTCCTGGATGGTGGATGGCGCTACCAATCTTTCGCCAATGTAACTGTGGATGACCTCGTCATTGTCACTTCTTTTTTAACTTCCGAGAGTCAACGAATACCAGATACCACTTGCTGCAAATACCAACTCGTCAATTCCCGCGTGCCTCAAGTGTGGTGGCCTCCGATGGATCAGACACAGAAGCCAAAAGTGCTGCAAGAAGACTGGCAGGTCGCGTATGACTCATGTGCTCTGACTTGCGGCGCAAAAGCCAGCAAGTCAGACACTCACACGCTGAAAGGTGTCGCGCAAAATAATCAGTAGAACGGAGACCCAAAACCGCAGAGACCCGGAACATGTAGTTTCCGGGGCAGGTCATGAACTCACATGCTCCAAGCGCTGCAAATGCAGCCAATTAGACTAGATGTTGAGAGTCCGAACGTGCTGCAAATACCGCCACACCAGTGTTAAAAAAACTATAACTATCAAGAACCGTTTTCCTTTTTTACAATGTTTCAGTACGTTGAGATTTATTGATGCCACTCCAGTGTCGTTGATGTCTCCCCCCCTCTTTGCTGTGTCTCCGACCCGTCCCAGGTCTGGCGTCCCAGAATGTGCCGCGGACCTGGTGCGCTGGTACCAAGACATCTCCCCGAACTTTCCGATCGCCCTCTCGATGGACCAGCTGAACCGCCGTAAGTGCATTCCTTCGGTGGCAGCAACGCTGCAATGCGTGAACCATGCAGGTCGCAGGATGAGCCACCCTGATTTGGACTCCTATCTCACACTTTTCTATCCTGAGGAGTGGGAAGATGAGAACGATAATGACCCAGAAGCCGTGAAGTTTCTCCTTGAGATGTGGAGAGTGCAGGTAAAGGAGTGGATGGAGAACTCCCTTGGAGCAGTCTACAGCGAGCGAACCTGGACGAAGAAGATTCAGGAGCACATCAGTGCATTGATGGCGATGCCCTTCCAGATGAGCAGCCAATTTGTCATGATCAAGGTTGAACACCTTTTGATCCCAAATGCGAAACCTAAAATGAGCTGGAGAAAGGAGATCCTGGACAGGCTGGAGGGCAAGATGCTTTATGTGACCATTCTCTATGATGATGAAGATTTCCTGAGCGACTTGCCGCCAGGTCGGTCCTCTGGCTACGCGAGGATTGAGAGGCTTGCGGATGAGAAGAAGAAGGATTTGATCCGAGATCCCCGAAAAGAGAGGACGAGTTCACCAGAAGCGGACGCCGGAAGTGAAGAGAAGAGGCCGTTGGAGGCCGACTTGCAGCAAATGGGCGATCTCGCTCGTTTCCGTGCCTTGATGGAAGACGAAGGGGACGAGATGCCTGATTTCATCGAGTTAGAGGACTTAAAACATTTCGGATATTGGTGCCAACATCAAGATGAGTTTAAGGTGCGCCTGCCGGCCACAGCGAACCAGTTTAAGCTCATGGTGTGGATGCAGCGCAACGTGGATGGGAAGATGGCTGAGGAGCTTCTGGGCATTTCCGACCCTTTTGATTTGATCTTACCGGAGGACCTGTCTTCAATGGGTGCGGATGAGGCAGACCAGAGGCGGATCTACTTCTACAGCAGCTGGACCACCGAGAGCGGGAGATTGCAGAGAATTCAAGAAAGTTCGAAGGATCAGACTGAGAACCACTCCTTCTTCCCCGAGACCAAGCGAAAGGTGCGAGACTACTTCAATCCTCCAATCACCAAGAGCGATGTTAGAGAGACCATGGGCTTTGTCGACTTCAAGGTCCGACCCGCAAGTCAAGAGGAGAACGATGAGGATGAAGAGGCTTTGATTGCGGTGCGAGATGTTGTTGCAGGAAGCAGTGAATTGAATAAAGCAAAGCTCCGCCGGCACTTGGATCGCCAGACCATCTTCGCCAAGTTCTTCGGGCTAGCGATGGAGGTCGACAGCAGCTTGGAGGAGCATTTGGACAAGTTAAAGGAGTTCAGGGCAACTCACCAGAGCGGCGCTCTGTTCCTTAAGGAGTTGCGCATGGAAACTGGACACAAAGAGAAGCTTGAAATGTCATTGTTGGAGAACAATATTCGGCGATCGCTTTGGGAAAGGGACGCCATGGACAAGGCCATCAAAAGCCTTGAAAAGGGCATCGCAGAATTGAAGAAGAAGAAGCAAAAGAACCTAGAGAGGCAAAAAGGAATGGAGGCGGTAGAAAGTTACAGGATTCAAGAACGCTGGCGTGGATCCTTCTGCACACATGAGACTGTCATGGACTTTGAGAGTGCCTTGTTGCTTCAGTTGCAGACATTCAGACAAGGCCAGCAGAGTGATTTCACTAGCATTTGCACTACGTGCTCATGGCGGATGATGTGAAGCCCAACAAAGTGGGGCGCCCGGATTCGGTACCTCCTCACATGTGTGAAATCGTTTGCAACACGGTGCAGGATGTTCCCAGAGTCCAGCTTCGATGCTCCCAGTTCAGCTCCGATGTGGTCTTCAAACGCGAAACCAATGGATCGAATGGGGATGGAATGCCTGCCCTTGTGAATGCCCGGCTCTGCTTCCAGGCGGTGGGAGCTGAAGCGGAAAAGTACTACAAGGCATTCGCTCCGGAGCCCGGCGAGTGGATGATCGTGAAGGATGCTGAAGATGCCAATCTGCCTGAGTGGAAACCCGTCTTTTTGTATTGGGACGGCTTTGCCCGCTGGGTGGTGTCACCCTTCCGGGGTGAGCCAGCGCCATATGGCTTGAAGACCGACCAGAATCAGGGATTGTTCCTTTATGTGCGAGACAGTGCTTCGTCCCCCGATCGCATCAAGAAGGGCATTTTCATGAAATGGCACGTGGAGGCGGGTGTCGCGGAGTGGAAAGAGGATCCCAGTATCACGGTCATCTCCAAATTCAATTGGAAGTCCTTCGGCTCTTCCAAGGGCCAGCAGCTAGCAACCCATGCCAAGACAGTGGATCAAAGTGGACAGTCCAGCACCTTTGGCAAGATCTTCAATGCTTTGATGTTCGTGTTTGTGTCCACCAGCAGCAAGAAGACCTTGCCCGAGATCAAGGATGGTCTCATCGGACTGGAAGGCCGCAACATCATCTTCGCGTGGAAAGATTTGTATCAAGAGTCACTCGCTCCCTTTCGAAGCTTCCTCCTTGAGGAATTTGGCAGCTACCATGCAGCCTGGGTCTTCTTATGTCGCAACTGCACCATTTCCAAGAGCAGATGTGTGCGCAACTTGGCAAGAATGCTGAAACGTTGCCATGAGGAAACCCAAGCAGCTCTGAAGGCCCGTGCTCAAGCCGCTGGCAAAGGAAAGAAGAAGTTCCAACGCGATCGTTCCATGAGAGAGGGAATAAGTCAGGGCCATGTGCAAGAGAAAAGGTCCATGATGGACCATGATGAGAGGAAAAAGAAGGCAAACCTGTTTTTGAGCATGTTAGGAAAGGCCATGGTGGAGAAGGCAAGTCCTGTGAAGGAGGAATCAAATGAGGAGAAGGCACTAGAGCGCATGCAAGAATATTTGCATGCTCGTGTTGCAGGAGGTAGTCTGGAAGCGATTTGCCAAGAGCTCCTCAACCAGCTGGACCACAATGAGAATGGGAACCTAGAGGTGCACGAAATTCTATCCCTGGAAAAGATGCTCGAGGACTGCGACTTTAAGAGGCAAGACTGACTTCAGAGTTCACCAACTTTTATAGGTTTGAATTCGGTTTTTGGCCAAAAACATTTTGTGCATCCTACTCCGGGTTGTCACGGTCTCGTTGTACGAGCACACGCTATGGGATCATTGTGTCTTTGTCGCCGAGAAGTCAACTGCTTTACTCGTGTCAATTTTGTGTTGATGTCACGAAAGCCAGCCGATAGGCCAGGCTGGAGTCTAGGGGAGCGAAAGAAGTGAGTAAAGGGTGGGCGCCAGAGGGCAAATTTCGGAGAGCTAAATGGAGTGTTGTGATGCAAGTGATGTAATTGACGGCGAGTAGTGCATCATTAGCATCATGAGGGGCTCGGGAGGCAATGTAAACCGTCTTCCACCGGGGTGGGAGTTCATGTTGATGAGAGGAAAGAGGCTATTGAATTACTGTGTGAGAGGGAGGTGTGTGTCTCTTAAGGCACGGTGAGGGGGGCGGAGGGGAACAATGCCGTGGGGAAGGTGGAAGACACACACAGCGGAGGAGAAATCTTAGAGTTGCTTGGGGTTGCAACGCCTGGCAACCATGCGCAATAGGGCACCCCATACTCAAGAGCAGGAGAGAGAACAGATTGCAGTAGTGGGCAGGCTTTGCATTGCTTGGGGGCGCCCCTTTTTACTGGTGGAGAGGCCTGGATGCAGGACTCAAGAGATATGGGGTGGGAGTTCATGTGGATGAGACAGGCGCAGCGGAGGACGATGTCCTACCAAGAATGGGAGTTATGTCGATGCAATAAGGCACCTGATATAGGGTGCGAGTGCGTGTGCTTATGTCATCTGCTCAGGGCAGGAGAGAGAAGAGATTGCGCAAGTGGTCCACTTCCGGCTGTCCACTTCCGGCTGCTCTTTGTCCACTCCGCCTATATATATATATATATACCATCACATTTGCTCACTGATTGGCAACACGCAGCAGGCAAGCGCCCTTCACTTCCTTAGGGGTGCCCTTTTTTCACCTCCAAAACGCATCTGAGCCAGGACGAAAAAGGGCACCCCCCCTAAACCTATGTATTGTACTTTTTGTTTCTGCCTCCTATCGGGGTGGCTGCGATGTCAACTCCCCGTAAAGGCACTCTTTGCCCAATGTCAGCCAATCACTTCATCTTGCACGCCAAGTCTTTAAGTCGATCTACAGGACATGCACAACAAACAGCGGGCAAGCGCCAGGCTTGGCCTAAGGGCACCCCCCTAATTCAGAGGCTGGCTTTCGTCCCCTCCCTTCTCAGGTCTATCGGGATGTCTGTCGGGATTGTCCCATCGATTGTAGCCAGCTGGTGCCTTCATGTTTTGATTTAGATGAGGTGTGGCCGTTGCTGCTACTTTGAGAGGCAAAGTTTTACGTGTGCATGAATGATACCAACGCCTTTTCGCGAAAAAAATTGAATTTACGATCCGAATGACGTTTGGTCAAGCAAGCACTCCATGACCCTTTCGTCCTTCCTTTCGGCAGTGGGCGGCGTGACACTCTTCATGGTTCACTCGGCGACCTGAGCGTGCTAATCACATTGGGGCTGTGGACGTGCAGGCGAAGATAATCGTTTACTTTTTGCCAACCGGGTGTTTTTGATGCGACCCCCTGCATCATCGAAAAGGCCTTCTGACATCCTCAAGCTGATTGGCTAAACGCCACGCGTTTGCAGCCAACTGAGGTGTAAACGACGATAGTTACGGTATACAAATACAAAGAGAGGTACATAAATAAATACACACACACATATATATATATAGCAATAAACACAGCGCAAAAACAGGTGTCCTTTCTTAAGTCCCAAAGTTCCCAACTGAGAAACGTAAATCATTTGGTTTTGTTTCTGAAGACCTGGACCTCGAGCCGGCACGCTGGTGTGCCATCGATGCTGCTGCAGCTGGCCAAGGTTTGCACATGCCCAGCGGGTCCGGTGCCGCCTGTGCGGCCGTGCCGGGTTGGTTTGAGTGGAAGGTGCTGAAACCGGTTTGGAGTATGTCAAAGGACCTGGTACAGGCAAGCTCGGAAGTGCCGCGTGTTTTTAAAAATTTTTGTTTCAGGGAGGAACTGCGAACCTGGCGGACTTTGCAGCCGTGCCCTTCTCACAGGCTGCTTTGTGCATTCCAGAGAGGCTCAGCTCATACCTTTTAAGATGTGTTCAGATGGTGGCGCACTCAGTGAGTACTGTAGACGTTCATTTCCTACCGTTCTTGCAAGTTAGTCACGTACATGTCCTTTTTCAAGAATTTGTGGCCTTGTTGATTCCCGTCCAAGTGCAAACCACGGCCTCCCCGTCCAAGAAACCTACCTGCCACAACGGATGAACACGACAGTAGTAGAGCTTTGAGTTCAACTGAGTTCAGAGCAAAAGGACACCAAGAGAAGAACGCAAAACATTCATATTATTGAGCTCCTCTCGCGCGGTGTGACGGTGTGTGGAAAGGAGCCAACCAATGAATGCACTCAGGCTCCCCACAGGAATAAGAGCGCATTTCCTTGTTGTGCGAATGTATGCTGTCGGCGTATTGCAAGCATTGCAGAAGAGATTGCGGTTAGATTCGATTAAATCACACTTATCCTAGCATCCCAAGGAACATTCCGAACACTGCCAGCTTTGAACCTGCAAAACTTGTTGGGAACCGCTTGTGCCCCACCTAATCATGCCAATCCCTTGACTTCTCGGAGATGAACGCAATTCTCCAACGCTAGGCCTGGCATGGTGCTCCTGGTGATTCAAAACCGCTTTGTTGGTCAAAGATGGCTCATGTTATACTTTTACTTCGCACATTTTTGGGGTCCGATGCTTGTCGCGTGATGCATTTTTTTTGGGGGGGCTTTCGAGGAGAAGCTCGGCAACAAAGAGATGAAGGAATTTCTCAGCTTTCTCAAAGTGCATCCCAGATGGAGCAACGTGGAGCACTTTTGGTCAGATCTTAGTGAGGGTTTTGAGATCAGCAAAGAGGAGTTCGTGAGGGATTCCAGACTGCTTCTATTGCGATTTACCAACCAGCAGATGATCAAGGGTGCCATGCCAGACGTGTCCATCGAGTCCAGGGTAGAACTCATTTTCTCTCAATTGGATGTGCAAATGAGTGGTGGCGTTGGCCTCAAGGAGTTGATTCCCATGTCGGGTGAAGGCCTGGCAGATGTTCAATCCAACTTGGCCAAGTTCAAGATACCCCTGGACTACTTGAAGGAGATCCGCATTGAAGGAGACGCACATGACGACCGCCCTTACCTACGCTTCCAGGTTCATCCCGACTTCGAGAGCAGTCCAGAGTGGAGATCATTGAAGATGGGGCTTTCTCCAGACTGGGAGCCCAACCAGGGCTTGGAGTATTTGCGCGTGGGCATGGCGCCACACCACCTGGACGTGTGGAAGAGGGTGATTCTTGACTGGGGCATGGACGACTCTGTTGTTCAAGAATCTATTCGTTTCTACCAGGGTAGAACCATTTCACATCCGACCATTGATGGGGTTCACATGCGTTCCGGGAAGGGGGTGCAGCGCTGGCCAGATGGCAAGATGTACTGCGGATATTGGGATGATCACCTTTACAACGGCGAAGGCAGTCTCTTTAACGACTACCAGGACATGACCCGGGGTGTGAATCCAATCTACAAGGGTGAATGGCAGAGGGGCAAGCGCCATGGTTGGGGCGTCTTTCGGTGGGAGCAAGGCGCTCCTGAAGGAAACCCTCATGGTGCAGGCCAGTCGTCTGAGGTGTTCAAGGTCTACGAAGGTGAGTTTGTCAACGACTTGTTCAACGGCCAGGGGAGCATGAAAGTGGAGAACGCCCCATTCGTGACGACCACACAGCACCAAGGTGTTGGCCCAGGATGCGTTCCTTTGCCCTGCCTCGATCCAGTCTCGATCATGAGCTTTGAAGGCACCTGGGCCTCAGATTGGTACCAGGCCGATGAAGAGGCTAGAGCTTCTAGCAGTCTCTACGACCACTTGCACCCCAAAGAGGAAGAAGCCCCTCGCCACGAGAAAACGGCAAAACTTCACTTGAATCTTCACAACATCAAATCAACTCAGAGCAAAGATCCGAAGTTCCTCAGGTACTTCTCCGCCGATTCTTTGGGCGTGCAGCGTGCAGGGAAGCCTTTGCCCGATCTGGCCTTGGCCTACTATCAGCAGCAGGGGTGTGATGCGAAGCACATGACGAAAGGGCGAGCATTGTACGCTGATTTCACCGTATACATTGGAGACTATGCATGTGGTGTGCCTGATGGCAGTGGAGAGATGACACAGTATGAGTACAATGGAACAAAAGGAAAGCCGTTGGCGCACTACAAGGGCTACTGGAAGAATGGCCAGTTTCATGGAGCTGGCAGGTACCAGACAGCAGATGGCTTGACTTATGACGGCCAATTTGTGGAAAACCTACGCCATGGCTTTGGAGTAGAAGAGGTCAGCAAGGACTTGGCGCTGAAGTTGGGTTATGGTAAGTATGAGGGAGAATGGAAGAATGGAGTGTTCCATGGCCAGGGAAGGCTCACCTCTGCTGATGGCCGGGTTTTTGAAGGTCACTTTGTGGAGGGCCAGCGGCAAGCGGGCGGTCGTGAGCTCAAGCCGGAGACGAAGGGATTGCCCAACCTCTTCGGCAGTATGTTGAAAAAGCCTAAGGTGGATGGTGAGGATGTCCTCCATGCGCCTGATGAGCTACGATTTCTGCATGAAACCATTGGGCAGCTGAGGCATCGGCCTCGCTCGGCGCCAGAGCCACCCAGCGATCTGGAAGATGTGATCATCAAGGGTGGCACGGGCGAGAATGAGGTCATGAACGGTGTTTACTTCCGGCTGACGCACACCTTTGGCCATCGTGTGTTCAAGATGGTCAAGAAGGTCGGCATCTTCCAGAGCGTGGTGAGGTACTTATACCTGGACGATGCCAGTGAATCTTGGGTCATCTCGGCCCAGCCGCTGTCGGGCATTTGCTCGGCCTCCGGCTGTGCGTTCGTGCCGGAGGATGCGAAGCATCCCTCGCTGGTGACAAAGCCCTGGTATGTTTGGCATGGATTCTCCAAGACGTTGCGGGTCGTTGGGGAAGAGTGCGAGGAAGAGGAAGATGAGAGACAGACTTTCAGCTTGGGAAGCCTAAGGGGTACACCGAGCCCTGTTGATCTGCTTGAAGCCAAGAGCATCATCGGATTCCAGCTGACTGGACATGCGGATGGAGAGGTCGTGCTTGGAATGATGCGGAGGATTCCAATGATTCAGTTTGGTCGCCCAGTCTATGCGCACCAATCTGGTGGACAGTATCTCTATTTCCACCGGAAAGGTTCCACAAACAAGTGGGACGGTGCTTTCCAAGAAGAGTTGGGTCCGGGGATCGATCCCAAGCCCAAGCTCTATGAGGACAGAGGCTACTGGATCTTTGCAGCAGAACTTGGGAACCTTCCCGAGTCGCCCGGCTGCCATGGCTTCGTGGAGGACAATGCAGTGACACCAGATCAGATCTCCGGCACTTGGAAGGTCAAAGTCGCCGACCAGATGCAGAGGAGCCCTGCGTTGAAATTGGTGCCACGAGAATGGAGTGACGAGCATTTGTTGCATGACACAGGCACTAGCGGAGCAGCCCGAACAATGGTCCGCTCGTAGAATTTCCAACAACTCGCTGGCAAGACGCCTGAGATCAAAAGGCAGCTGGTCCGAGTGATTGCTTGTTGAGGCATGTTCATTGTTTTTTTTACGCTGCTTGTTTGTGCTTGTCCACTTGCTGAGCGTGTTCCCATGGGTCCCATCGCGGCGCCAGGTCATGAAAGAACGATAACTGTGGCGAGGCTCCGGCTCAGCTTGTCGCGCTGGTTGCCGGGGTCTTGAAGTTGTGACCTTTTGACATCTACATGGTGTTGATGCGCCTCAACAATATGTGCAACTAGAAGATACTAGAAAAAGGAACATGTCAAGCAAAAAACATCAAAACGTGACCAGAGAGGCATATGTCACGGTTTTGTTTTGCCCGTCCTCAGGCACTGAGTCGGTGCAACACTATTGGGTAAAGTGGAAAAGTCTAGCTGCTAAAACGTAGGGCAAGAAATCAAGCGGTGAGGGTTTAAGAACCATGTGACAAAGTTGGTCGATAAAGCAAAGGTGGGAATGGCAGATAACGAGCCTCAGAGAGTTGTAATCGATGCTTAAGTGTGGTGTTGTTGACGTCAGTTTAACCTCCATGCTTTTGAGCATTGAGCCACCTTTGGACACATTTTTGAAAAAGGACAGGTTTTTTTATGTAGGCACTTTTTGGACAATGTTTATGGGTGGTCCACGGAGTGGCAAAGTAGATCAGTTAGGTGAGTTTGGCATTCTTCCTTTTTCATTTGGATTTGCTTGAGGTCGTTCTCTACATTACATCTTACTTGAGTTGCACATGCCAATTTGCAGAACATGTTTGTCAAGTTGTTTCTCCAAGTTTGCATTTCTTCTTGCGAACCCTTTGATTTCCCAAATTCACTCCGTTTGGAATTGTAGCAGTGGTTTCTATAAAATTGTGAGCCGCTGCTGCATGTGCACAGGTGGGAATGCTGAAGAACAGTGACGATAAACCAAGTACAACGCCTAAAGCGCTGAAAGTTTCGAACAGATATAAGAGCAGCATTAAATTTCTCTCATGCGGCAACTTGTTCCTTGCAAAGTGCCAACCACCGAAACACAATGTTCATTGTTTTTCAGCCTCTCATGTTTTCGACTTTTTAGGCGTTCGACATCTCTGGGAGTGTTTGTTTTCCGTGGAAGCCTTCTGCCGCCTGGTCCTCGCACGAGCTTCCAGTCTCATCGCACCAGCTTCCTTCTTGCGACGCTGGAGCTCCACGCGGCCCAGGTCCATCCCCTGGGCAGAGCTCGCTCCGCCCCCGGCGAAGGCCGAATCACGGCGATGCCATCGCGTGTGAATCGGGCGACCAGTCTCGACATGCGGATGTGTATTTTCAATAGAGACATCCGCAAGGAATAGGTTTTGGTCTATGTTTCTCCGGCCGTCATTTCCCACTTCCATTCCATGATTGTTTCAGGCAGGGTAGCACATGAGCTGCCCCCCTCACCAACCACGAAATTGAAGCACCTCCCCCTATGCAGTGGGTCACATGTTGGATGGTGCGCCGTGCCCAATCTTTCGGCTCCAACGCGTGGGCTCGAATGGGCGTTCAGTGCTGGTTCATCTACTGCACCAGCAAGGCCTGAACTGCCGACCGGGAGGGGGTGGAAGACATCCTGCTTGATGCCAGATGTACCATCCGCCAGAGTGACTGGTTCCACTCGTGCCCATGATCTATAGGCCCACTAGAGGCCACTCCATTTCCTATGGAATTCCCAGGGTCCGCCGTGTCATCCAAACCTGAACAAACACCTCACAAATGATTCACAATTCCAAGTGCGCCCGGGGGGCTGGGAAGTCAGGTTGTTGGGAAGAAACCACCTCCAAACCTCCAGAGCCGCTGGGTGTCGACACCCACCAGCTACGCGCTCCGACTCGGTGGAGGACGTGGTGCCCGGATGGCTCCCGCCTCCCTGGATCTTTCGCTCGATGAGGCGGGGGTGACGTCCGTCACGTGAGGTCCAAAAGGTGAGCATTGGAGCACCCAGCCGGGAAATGGGGCGTATATATATATATATAGATAGATAGATAGATTGATATGATATGATATGATATGATATGAGATATGATATGATATGACAGGACATGATATGATATGTGTATATAACTACTGTATATGATATGTATGATGTATATAATGTCGTGTAATGTAATGTAAAGACAAATGTGATGTTATGTAATGCAGATCAGTTGGAGGACCCCCAAACTCGAGTGTGTGTCCTCCAGAGCCAAATCGCCTAAACCGGGTGGGCCGGTGTCCTGCACGGCCCAGGTGATCAAGGCCTCCAGGAGCGAACCCAAGGGCCGTGGGAAAGGCGCGGTCTCCCTGCAGCGGATGTTCCTACTCCCGGGATCGAAGCGGGCCGGGGCGAGACCCATTCTACAAGAGGTTTTTCCAAGATTAGAGTCTATAGAGGTAGATCGAAGTTTGTTTTTGACTGTTTTCAGTTGGTGGTGATTGAAGAAGATACCCCTGGCTGCTTTACCATGCTTTATTCAATCATTTTGTGCTTACTTTTGCTTAGAGGATCGTTGGGAGATGCCAAGTTGTGCCTGATGCAAGGATGTCCTGGGCGGCAGGTCCGTTCTGTCAGGTTTTGACACCTGCAAAAGCTGCAGCTGACACCAGCGACCCTCATCCGGTTTGTTGGGCTTGGGGGGGGCACCACCCGGCTGCTCGGAACAGCCACTGGTTCTCCACCGCCCACGAGGCCGAAAGGAGCATGTCGCTCCGAAGGAGGAGGAGATGGTCGGTCTGGACCGACCACAGGGGGGGGGTTCCATGGAATCGTGAGGAAAGCCCTGTGGAGACTTCCTGTAGAAAGCGGGCATGGCCTGGCTGAGACCAGACCCAGGATGTCAGAGTTCCCAGCGTCGACCTGCACGTGGGCGGGCGCTGGTGCGGCGTGCTTCAGGACATGAGCTTGGATGAGCTGATCGAAAAGGAGGCTCAGCCGCAGAAGGCGGGTCAGAGCCGCCGAACGAATCAGAGTGGCTTTTCATCGCCTCAGAGCCGCCTACTTGATGTTATGGAGACAATGCATTCAATGGACCCGGGTCATATGGGAGCCTGGGAACAAGTGTCGAAGCCTTTGTGAATCAGGGCCATGTTCGGGTGGGTCGAGTGTCTATCTACGTCACTGGCCCAAGATTGTGGCTTTTGCAAGCGAACTGAGGGCAAAAAGAACTGGCAGGAAGAGTGGGAGAAGCCAGGCGCTGTCAGGGCAGTGGGTGGTGGAGTTCGGTTCATGTTTTTTGGTGACGTAAGGGCGGTAGGATGAAGTGAGCCAAAGCAACCCTGCAGGCTTAAATCTTGCTGGGGTGCATGCCGAGGAGTAATAGCGATTTCAAGATGCATGCTATGTTCACAAGGGTTTGACCAGCTTCTCCTTCCGTGCCGCAGGGAAGGAGAAGGAGTGGGGTCCAAATAAATGGCAAGACAAGACGAAGAGCACAGGCGCAGAACCGGGTGGAGACCCACCTCGCTTGAGCTGAAGGGACGGAGGGAGGACGGAGGACCCAATACCTCGGCTCCGAGCCGTTCTACCGACCCATGGGACCTGCAGGTTTCAGACGGTCTCAGGCCCTTTGACATCTCTTGAGTGGAAGTGGAAGCCATGCTTTTTCACTCAACTGCCCCCCCAGCTGTGTGAGCACGATGGTTCTTGTTTTCAAGCGAGGCACTTGGAAGGCGAGTTGGAAGGACAACGATCAGAGTGGAGGAGGCGGAAGCTGGAAAGCCAGCTGGAAAAGCGCCGACGCCTCTGAGAATTGGAGCCTTGGGCGGGGCTGGGGCGATTGAAGCTGTTGGTCGAGAGGGCCGTTCCAAACCGGGGACATGCTCATGTCGAAGCAGGTGGCTAGAACAAGTTCTGGGAGAAACCCAACTATGAGTCTAAGCCCCGATGCTTGAGCATCGGAAGAGCACCAGCAGCTTCATGCTGATGGATCTTGACCTTGGCTGTTTCATTGAAAACGTGTTTCAATAGCTGCGGACCTTAAACGCATGTCAATCAATGAAGGTCAGAATCGTTCAGAAGAAAGGTCAGGCGTTCGGCGGCGCTCGCCGCCTCAGGGAGGCGACAGGGGGGGTTCTTCCGAAGCCGGCGGCGAAGCCTCAGGAAGAAGGCCGACTCCTGGAAGGCGGCGGAACAGTGGAAGCCCAAGGCTGAGAAGTGGGAAAAGGACAACTCCTGGAGCAGCCAGGGCCTCAGGAGTATCGTTGAATCGCGTGGGAGGCGGGAGGGGTCGGATTTGGCTCAAAAAGGGCAGGTGAGGTGCAGGGTTCGATGGGAGGAAGTCCAGTTGTTTCTTGCTGTGCTGGTATCAGGTGGCAAGAAAAACGATTGGTCAGGCTGGGGTGGGTTGGGGGTGCTGGAGCTCTTGTTTGTACGCAGGCTGCTCGGATGTGCGTTGAAACTCCTTACAGATAGACCGTGCGCTGTTGGAACTTTGACAGCAGTGATCCCCGGGCAAGGTGGACTGTTTGTCAAGAATGCCGCGAAAAGTGGTATGGACAAACCACTGATTGGGGAATCCCTCCCTACAAGTCCAAGGGCCAAGTTAAACCTGGTCCTTGACCTCATTGAGTACTGGTTTTGCATGACCGGACCCAGTCAAATGAGGTCCTTGACCTGTAGCGAGATCTGGTTTTCGACAGCCAGCTGGCATCAGGCCACCAGGAGGAATGGAAGCCCAAGCCCCGAGGCGTGACAGAGGAACTAGCTTGGACCCCTGTTAGGGTTCTTCTGTCGAGGGATGGCACCTTCAAGACACCAAGCTATTGGGATGTGAAGTCGTATGAGGTCAACTAAATCTCAGCCTTCAACTGTCAGGGACTGTGAAGCTGGGCCACAGTGACCAATCCTGTCCCACAGATGTCCCACTGAGCGCCGCACCTTTGGCCCCTTTGATACTGTATTTTTGAAATGTATTTTCACTAGGGCACCGAACGTTTCAAGTGTCGAAATGAAGTCGCGGGTCAGGGTCATCTCCCCTCTTCGCTTCCCCAACTCCTGGAAGGCCCCAGCTTCCGCTTCCCCTTCTTCTAGCTGTGGAGCTGTTTCCGCTTCTCACCCTCCGGCGAAAGACGGCGACCCCCCTCCGCCCATGCGAAGAGAGAGAGAGAGAGAGAGCTGAGCTCCAAGCGTCTTCCGCCCGGGGCGCGGCGCAGTCCAGGCGATGAATGGAGCGCCAACTCCTGGGGCGCCCAGCCAAAGAGTCCGGGGCCCCAACTGGGAGGTCGTAGTCCGCAAGCTGTAGCTCCATGGTGGAGGTGGTCATTTCCAAAAAGGCATGTTTCATACCCAGAACGACCAGAAAGATCCTTCTTGCACTGTTTTCATGGTAGGTGTGAAGTAACAGCAGGGTGAGTGTGATGCAGCCTTGCCGTTCCATCTCCGACGTGGGACACACTCAAACACAACGCTCTTTTCCGGACAGAGAAAGAGGGCCCATTCCTGTTTGTTTGATTTTCAGTTGGACCAGCGATGCCAAGCCTGCTGCTTCTTCCATTGTTTTTTTCCTGAGGCCAAGCCTGGGAAAAGTGGCCACAAGACAAGTGGGAGGCGCCTGTGCGTCAGGTGCGGAATGGGTGGGTGGCTGCCCATAGCACTGGCGGAAGGAATTTTCATGAGTGCTGCGGTCCCTATCATAGGGTTTTTGGATTCTGGACCCCAAAGACGTGGCAGCTCGATGCATGGACTCGATGCATTGCGGGCAACAAAGGAAGATGCACAGACTCGCAGGCTCGGTTTTGACTACAGGTGCGTAGTCAGTCCTATCTACCCTCCATCCAACAAGCATGGCAGTGGAATATGGCCCCTTGGAAGACCGTTTTCCTCTACGCACAGGCAAATTTCCACTTCCATGATTGTTTCAGGGAGGGGAAAATTTAATGCAATCTCCGATTCTTGTAGGTTATCGTCGGTCTGTTGTTTCCATGTTGTTTCGATTGGCTGGTTGTTACCGCTGGACCCTGTTTGCGGGGATCGCCATGAATCATGCGGTGAAAAGTGGAACTCTGATGCCCTGTGGAGGCTAGACTCTTTCCACCGGGCTCTGATTCAAGAGAAAAACAGAGGAGAGCAATCACCAGCCGGGACCTCATAGGACCCATACAAGGACCCCAGGATGGACCCCAGGATGGACCCTGAACGCATGAAGGCTCCAGCCAAGAAGTTCCGGTGAACGCTCTGAGCCATCGCTGTGTTACAGAGCTTGCCCGTCTTCTCGTCGACGGTTCCTGTCCAAAACATCGCGGGGCCGTCGAAAACGTGTTCGAAGCATCACTGGAGCAGCGAGTTCGCAATGAATCAATGAATGGGGCAGTCAACTGCCCCCCCCAGAGTCTATAAAGATGATAGAGGATTTCGCGAGCCCTCGCTTGAAGTCCCGAACTTTTGCCCTGCCTCAGACTTGGCGGCCCACCAACGAGCAGGAGAGAGAGGACGTGTTTGTGTTAGCTGAAGTGAGAGGATGACCCCTCCAAAGCCCAGCGGCCTGTCAAGAGGCCCAGAAAGATCGGACACATTGGCTAGCGGCTAAGCGGCTAGCTGCTCAGGAGGGCTCAGGAGGGAGCCATCCCATTCACCCTATCCATCTTCTCCAAACAAAGGGAGCCGAAAACCCCCAGCAGAGAGCGGAGTGAGCCAGTGAGCAAACCGCTCCGCTGGTTTTCGGTGAAGCGAGCCAGACCACGATGGGTTTGATCCCCCGCAGAAGGGAGAGCACCTGAGCACCCTGCCAAAGTAAGAAAGGACCAGAACGTGTGGTGAACATTGGGTGACCTGTTCGGGTGACTACATCCACCGGTGACGACTGTGGGAAGCGATGTCGATTCGAGTCCGTTGGTCCTCCAGGAGCGCTGGAACTCCCGAAACGAAGTGCACCTGCAACGGTGGGAGCGTCCGGACACCTCACGAGCCTGGGCTGAGAGGAAGGGGAAGTTGAAGACTGAATCTTCAGCAGTCCGTTTCATCAATTGCCTTGAATGTGGCCACTAAGTCACTGCGTTATTCATGATAAGGACCTGTCAGGATATGTCATGTCAGTATCGTGTTGCATTGTTTTGCTGTCCATTAGGTCTTCCCCCTGCAATTTCAGTGAAGACACGTGTAGCAAGCAGTGGCTGGGGGGATGTCCAAAGTGTCACTGCTAGCTTGCCGTCCATGTGAAACAGCGAAACATAGTTGAATATCTGGGTAAGTCCACGCGTGACGTCAAGCGGTATCCCTCTCACGCACACCTCAAGAGTGGCCTGAGTCAAAATTGACAAAACAAAGAAACAACTATTCATGGACATTCCCCCTTCAGTGACCAACTGTGGCCAATACGCGTCCCAGTGAGACGGCTCCGGAACGAGTCATGCCCGCGAGACAGAGAGACAGAGAGAGAGAGAGAGAGAGAGAGAGCGTGGCCAACCTGCTGAGGACAAGAGGCTTACGGCCGCCAGGCTGACGTATATGGTCGCCCGGCACCGGATTACGGCCGCGGGCAGAACGACTATGCCCGCCAGCAGCACGACTATGCTCGTCAGGGGCACGACTACGGACGCGGCACGCAAGACAGCGGCCGGCAGGGCCCGGCTGAAGGATACGGGCGTGCCTTTGATGTCCGGGTGCCCAAGATGGTATTTTGGCGGCTGTGCAGCGCTTGCTCAGAAAATCCAGGGATGTGAGCTTCTTCAAGAGAACTTCCGCCCTCCAAGACCCAATGATTGTGAAGCGCATTCTCGTTCCTTTCAGCCAAGCAGCCCACAGGTCCGAGACCGCAGAGGCTCGGAGGGAGATGTGCAGCAAAGTTGGTCATTGACTGAATTGCCGATTTTTTCTGGTCATTTTTGGCCTCTATGTCGCCGCATGTTCCAAAGCTTCTGCAATTCCAAGGATATATACAAAGCACCGTTCGTGGGGGCTGGGCGGCTGGGCCTTGGCCTGCCAGGCCGTGAGAGATCTCGTTCGCCGCCACGGAGGAATTTCTACGAAGAGCCGCCTGCGAGGCGGAATGAGACGAAGAGATCTCGCTTCCTTTTTTCAGGATGACATTGGCAGGTGGTGAACAGCAACAGCTTTGTTTCTTGATGGACTGGAGATGGGATGCTAATGATGCTTATGCATTTCAACTGCATTGATTGCATAGTTGTAGTAATGCTAGTGTAGCACGTCCAGGAAACTACATAGAGCCAATATGAGCCAATTATAAAACGCACTTTCCAAGACTTCATTCCTGAGTTCTGCCAGTCATGCCCCAGAAAAAGCAGGACAAGAGCAGACAAAAACACCATCCTCTGTCATAACAATCTTGCTTGGCCACAGGGGCAGCATCATCTTGGTGAAGAACATTCCTTTGGGCCTCGATTCGAGGGACCGACGTCTCGCCGACGTCTCGCCGACGGGTTGCGCGGTGTGGCGTGTGGTGCGTGGTGAGTGGAGTGTGGTTGATTGGTGACCGGTGGATCTTCATCGAGAGGGAGCCGTGATTCATTGATCTTCACGCTGGTTTTAAGATCTCTGATCAAGTCAATGGAATATCTCATGAAATGCTAGGGACTGCGGTGCGATCAACAGCGCCACGGGATGGCCGACTCGACAGCGCCACGCTTGCCCAGAGGACATTCGTGACGCCTTTCAGTCGGCCACGGGCCCCGTCACGAGCTGCAAGCTCAGCCAGGGGCGCCCAGCACTGGCAGTGAGTCATGTGTGGCCGACGTGCCACTGGAAAGGACCGAGAGGGGGTGGTTGTGGAGTTGCACGGTTGACAGGGGTGAGATTTCATCTTGGTGTTGGAGGTTCGTGACACTGGCATCATACAAAAACGGCCGCGGGAGGCGGGAACGATCATGTCCAGGTTCCCAACCAGACCTGACTAGAAAAAGATCCACTTGGACTTATAGCTGGATGGACCCTGCGAGGGGTGGTCGCGGTTTGGGCTCCGAGACCGGGCGCGAGCCCCTGAGGCCAAGATGGCACTGCCAGGATATCCTTTGAAAGGTGCGAAGTGGGGCGAATGCCGAAGAATCCGATTTTTTCAGGCTCTAAAGGCTTTCCTGCATCAGGCCCTCTGAAGCTATAGGATCCCTGAATTTCCCCAACAAAAAGCAGGAGTGGGGTTGAGAAGGGATCACCAAGACAAGGGAGTTGTCGGTCGACATGTTCTGACCTGAAAGCCCCAGAACTGCTTGAAGTGGACACCCTCCGGATCTTCGGAACCTCCGGAGAAAGCCAAAAACAGCCCGATCCGCCCCCCCTCCCTGCCGACACCGGTGGGCTTCGTTCGCTCCGTTGGGTCGTCGAAGGCCGGAGGATGCGAAGAAGGCCGTCGCCACCTTCGACCACGGGGAGCTCAATGGCGCGGAGCGCCAAGCGGTGCGAGATGAGACCCAGGTGGTTTTTCTGATGGCATGGACCTGGGATTCCTGAAGATGTTTAAAAAAAAGGAGTGGTTCTCAGGTTCCAGGTCAGCAGGCTGAACCGTTTTTGTTTCAGACACGCTCTGAGGCAACATTATCAATGTCCACATCATCAATTGAGTGCCTTTTGATGTTTTGAGTGGCCTGCGGGGGGCGCGATTTATATCGGCGCCTTGTGCAAATGAATCTTGTGGAGCATGGTTTCAGGATACTTAGTTCCTGCAGCTGGATGCTGCTGTGAAGAATTTTCAGAGAGGCACGGGCCAGTCTGTACCAAACTTGAAGGTCACCATTCTTCAAGTGCCATAGGTTGCATAGGCACTTTACTAGTCTTTACTTGGCAGCTGAGCCAACAGAGGCCTCATGGGGCTTTCAAAGATGCCATGTGAGGGCTCGTGCCTGTAGCATAGTGACAGGGCCAGCGACGTGCGGTCCGGGCGCCAAAAGCTGACAAAGTTAAAAGGCCCGCACGTGCTCTGCGCACGGCGTGGGTTTGAGATGCGAGTGACTTCAAGTAGAAACATGTTGTTCTTCGTTTGGGAGAGGGGTCCTCGGACCCCATGTGAGAGAACTCTCATGTTCGTGACAGGGCGCCCATTTTGAGGAGACTTCTTTTCAGTGATGTGCTTGTGCAACGCACACACAAGAGGGTCGTAGGGCCATCAGAATTTGATTTTGGTGACTAGCCGGCAGACATGATCTGGGAAGTTGGTGGAGCTTTTGGTTTTGGGAAGTCCTTAAGATCCAGCATTCCCATCACCCATCCCCCGTGGGACCCTGCCATAGGGTGCCTGGCTAGGGTCCAGGGAAGTCGAACCCATGCGGAGAAGAGATGGCTTGGAGATGTTGGGAGCAACTCGAGAAGGAATTGGCACATCGTGTGCACAAACACCTTCGATATGCAGGTTAGCCTCCCAACTGTTAGGGAAGCACATATTTTAGAAAGCTGAGGCTGACTTCCGTTAGCTTCCCTCACGTGAAGGGTCATTACAACTTCGGTGTGATGCGAGTCACTCAGCAGCTTAGAAGCTTCTCAGTGAATCAACTCTTCGGCTTTTCGCATGGGTCATCCCTTCCGTGACCTCCCTGGAAGGCCCGTGGCCCCCGTGGCCCGCGTTCGCCCGTCGCTGGGGTGCCCAGCCGCATCAGGTTGGGCATCAGAGGTGTTAGGTCAAGTGGCTCCCAGTGGACGGGATCATGTTCCTTCGCAGGACGGTCTGACCGCGCGACCCAACATGTTGAGCCTCACCTGCGATCTGCACGGGACGGTCACATCAAACGTGGCGATCTTCCAACGGTTGGGACGTCGGCAGAGCCGTTGCCGTTGGGACCTCGGCGCTGCACCGCATGGCCACGTGGGCTCCAGGAACTCGAAACTCGGCGTTCGGTCTGACAAATGGTTTCACATGACGCATGGCTCGCTTATAGCGCGTGGATGGAAAGCCCTTCAGCTCGTAGAGGTGGGGGGGGCGACATCAGAGACGCTGGCTTCAGGACGAAGATATTGGACATGCTTCGATAGGGAGGGGGGCTCCATGTTCTGCTCCCAAACCCCTCAACCGAACCACAGAAAAGCTGTGGAGTATTCAGTCTTATTCAGTCGCTTTTTTGGGGTTTTTGTGGGACCTGCCTCATGCTGGCGGTGGCCGGGTGGCCCACGGGTGGCCCACCGGCCACTTCACCGGGAGGTCCTGGTGGCCCTTGTTCCGTGCGCACTCGCCGAACGAACCCATGGGCTCATTGACTCTCGGCGGGTGGGGCGGGCCCGCTGTCACGACGGCATCGGTTGGCCTGGTTGAGTCGGACCCTGGTTGAGTCGGACCCTTGGTGGCTCATTTGAGCGGCGCAGGCGCTAGCCCATGGTAGTGTGGGCTTTGATATGGCTTGATGACTTCTAGGCATTTCTAGGTGGGACAAACCAATGAGTCGACGGAAGATGATGGAAGCTCTGGGTTTGGAATCTGGAATGAGGAACCAAGGCTCGAGACCTTGGGGTGAACCTTGCTGCTCTGGTGGTCGACGCGGAGACCGTCGAAGGTCTTCTGTTGCGGTGTTTGACCTGATTGGCTCTCAGTCATCCATTCAGTTCTCATGGACCGGACTGGAGCCATCAAAATCACCTTCAACAACAGAACCATCGAAGGCTGCGCCTGGCACCAATCGACCAGATCCATGCAGGTAGGGAGGCCGTAGGGGGGGCTCATCAACAGTTTTGAACCGGATATTGGCATTTAGAAACATATATCGAGGCAGCCGGAGCGGAAGTCACATGTCACATGAAGTCACATGAAGATCTGTGTCGCTAGAGTCATGCCGACATATATGCTTTGACTGAGATTTGTTGGCCCCTGTTTCTGCCATGTCGTGGCAACGTGCTCACGAGATCGTGCATAGGACGAGCAGGGCTTCGAGTGCTTTTCAGGAAGCCTCTTTGGAAGCCGTCTCTCCTCATAACAAGCCGGGGCATTCATTGGATGTGACCGGCGCAGCTTCTGTGCCTGCTAGGGCTGCCCGGGCACTACAAGAGGTGCTGATGTCGGGTGCGCAGTCATCGACCAGCAGCGAAGCCAGCATTGTCTCTCACAAGGAGGAAGTGTTCGAAGCTGTGCGAGCGCACTTTGGAAGGAGCTGGCAGCAATACTCCAACTCCCTGTCTGAAGGTGCATTGCGGCTGGTGTCCGAGGAAGAGGCAGCTGGGAAGTCAAGTGCCTTCTTCGTATTTAGTGAAGATGGCAGGTATTGCTTGAAGAGTGTGGCACCATCAGAGGCCCAAAGCCTCTTGCAAATCGTGGAGGACTACAAAGACTATGTCTCCAACAATTTGCCCAAAAGCCTGTGATTTTAGACTGGTTTGGATTTACCCCCAGTGCACAATCCCCTGAAGCAACAACATACTGCTGTGCCCTTCCGCCCAGCAGCCCAAGGTTCTCTCACACCAGACGCTGCTCCCGCGCTTCTATGGGCTCTATGAGGTCCGCTTGCGCGATTCGTGGCGTTCGCCACCGGTCTGGCTGATGGTGCAAGGCAACGTGTTGGGCGGCCGTGCCGCTGTGGTGCAGCGCTTTGATCTGAAGGGCTCCACGCACGGCCGAAGAGCGTCCAAGAAGGAGTTGGCCAAAGGACGGGGGAAGCTTCACCTCACCCCTATGTGCTGGTCACAGAAGGCACCAAAGTCACACAGGGTTTGACAGATAGAACTGAAAATTATGAACACCGACTGTGTCCAAAGAGTTTCTTCAGAGGGATTCCTTCAGTGAATGGGAAGGCCTGCTGGGGTGTCCAGGTGTTTCTGATTCTCTTCGGCGATTGCTTCGGTTTGATTCCCGGCAGGACGTGGGAGTGTTCTGAAGGATTTGGATTTCGTCTCGCACCAGTGCGCTTTGAAGTGTGCCAAGCCAGAAGGGCTGGAGGAATGGCAAACTTGGATGGCATCTCTGGAAAGCGATGCCAACTGGTTGGCCTCCCATAACTTGATCGACTACAGCCTTTTGTTGGGCTTCTCTGCCTGCTCAGTGGATGAGCTACGGAAGCCTCTCTCTCATGTGGTACGGCTGCAGGTTCAACGGAGCTCCTTGGGCAACCTTCAGATTGAGATTCCGGAGGGGTATCAACTCTTGGTCTATGCAGGCATTGTTGATTGTTTGATGCCTTACAATGCGCTGAAGCGGGTTGAGAACATCATTTGCGATGCTTTGATTTCAGGCACCGGCGCGAAAGCGGCGGGAGGGGGGCTCCTTCAGGCATGCAGAGTCTCCGTTTGGGGTTTCACCTCACCTTTTGGAAGCGGAAGTCAGGTTAGATGGGCCGGTTAGATGAGGTCGCGTGTCAGGCAGAACCAGATCCCAAAAACTATCCAGGCCTGGCTTTGGTCCTCTCGGAGACTATAGTTTTTGGTTGACGAATATCAATATTGCGAGTTTGGGGAATTAGGCCACCACCATCATCCATCGCACCCGCGTCTTACTTGAACGCGCCCAGTTTTCACTTCGCCGCACATTGCCAGGCGACATCTCCTGCCAGCCGCCGCAGAAGTACGCACGGCGCTTCGCAGACTTCGTCACCCGCCTGTCGTGTCCAGAGGAGCTGCGAGAGCTGGTGCTGGAAAGACAGAGGGGCGCATGGCGTCCCCTGAGCTTCATGGGAGAGATGGGGCGAAAGGACTGTGAGAGATGAGGGGAGAGATAGGGCGATGGCCTCCAACCTAAGAGCGAAGGCCTCCAACCTGGAGGTCCGGATTTTGGAAATGAGAGAAACGCTTGGCCTTCCAATGGAGAAGAGTATTCATGATTTATTGTTTTTTTTTCACTATTGGTAGGGGAGCCCCAAAGGCCCTAGTGGTGAGTCCCAAAAGCACTAGCGCTGAGTGCAGCTCTTTCCAACCATTTATTGAAATCACCGAAATCCATTCGCTGAGCTCACTGAGCTTTCCAGGATGCTTTGATGCTTTGCAAGAGGACTGAGTTCTGGATCCTTCTCGGAGGCTTAGGTGGTCTTCTCCTGACCTACCACAGAAGCTTCCGCTCGTTGAATTGCAGGAGCCCGCAATCCTAAAGGGAATGGCCGGGATGTTTGTTGGGACGCCTGCCGCGATGGAGGACGAGATGCCTTCTCTCCTCCCGTCCTTCTCTCAAGTTCGCCGGGCCAACGGAGGAACAAAAGGGTGCAGGTTTGGCTCTGCAAGCCTCATTGAAACATAGCCTTCAGTTGGCCTTCCAAGACACCAACGGCAGGCAAAAAGCGGTCGTGCCTTATGGCCGCTGGCAGCCTTCATGGCTCTCAACATCAACTAAGTTGCACCCCTAACGGTTGGGGGTGAGCTACCAAGTGCCCAAAGTTTTTTGCGCTAGCAGCGCCAAGAAAACACCCTCAACCACCCCGTGTGCCCTGACCTACCAGTGTCTATTTTTTGGCCCCGCGGAAGATTCGATTCAGATTCATTCATAAGATTCATTTCCTTTGCGAAGCTGTGCCCCGTGCTTTTGGAGTGCCGCGGCATGCCACGGTCACATCTGAAGTTTTACTGGTGTGTAAACCAGGGTGACAGGGTGTCCCCAACATGTGGTCGAGCCGAAGATGACCCAAGTTGGCAGCATTCGGGTCGGGCACTCGGGGCACCTGGCCAGCGCGTTCTTGGCGCCAAGGACGAGGCGGAGCTGCTCCCGACTGACTGCGCGGAGGGGGTGCTGCATCTGGCTGGGAGGCGGGAGGGAAGCTGAGATGGGTCAAGGAACGCAAGCGCTCCACTAAGCCCTGCTTCAGCACTCTTCTTGGATGAGAGTGGCCCAGCTCTACGTGTGATCCAGGTTCTTCTTCCGCTCTTTCACCTGTCGCTTCTCGTCTCAAGTGACCGCTTCGTCCTTGATCCTGGAAGGTACAAGACGGTGGAGTCCGTGGAATACCCGGAGGGCTGCACGCTGCACGGCGAGCCTGGCACAGAGCCATGGTCTCACGGACCTCCCTCACGGACCTCACGGACGTTTGGTGGACGCATTGTCTCAACGGTCAAACACCCAGGTCCTTGGACTGGTAGGGCAGCCGCGAGCATCGGCTGAGCTGAGGCGATGGTCTCAAGACTAAGGAGTAGGCCACTTGAGCCGTCTTTGTTCTGAGTAGATAGGACAGATGGACATGTTCAAGCACCGATCCTGATCCTGACAAAGCTTGTTGTTGATTGCTCTTGCAGTCAAATGTGGGTTGGCAGGGGTTGAAGGTCCATTGATGATCGAGACAACTAATTAGATGTCAGAGGATGCGGCTACATC